ACTGGTGCAGAATTTCGCAACCATCCACCGTATCATGGGAAGACTATAGGGAATGCAAGAAAAGATATGGGAAATACCATGACATTATACCATGACATTATGGTATGAACATGTTGTGGTTTTTGTTAATGTTTGAACATGGCTTTGTTGTTGTGGTTGATACTTGAAGGATCACCGGATGGGATTCCGCGCCATTTCCCCAGAATCAGAACACATCTGTTGTAGGTGCATAGGGGGACACCCCTCATAGTCTCTGTAAAATCACAGGTGTTCGGGCTGAATGGGAAGGAGGATCTGGAGATACAATATGTCCAAAGATGGGGGGTGCGAACCCAACTTTGCATTGAGAATGCAAGCATATATATATATATATGGGTTTACGATGGTTTACGATAATATATGCCCTATTTGGGTAGGTGCCTTTGGGTACCAATCGAACCACCTATGGCTGGGCCAGGGGACCAGAGATGGATGGATGATTTAGGGGATTGGTTGGGCACAACAGCCCAACCAATCATTTTTATGGGAACAGGATGGGGATATTTCATGGGATATTACTGATATAACTGACAATATGGCATATGGTGTGTGTGTGTTTCGCAAAATGGGTGATACCCTGTACCAAAAAATCATAAAAAGGGGATTTCCCCATCTTGAGACAAGCGTTCAAAACGAAATGCGGATTCTTGGTCCCTTCAAAAAAGGGGAGCAACAACTTCGGATACTGTGGATGGCACAAATGCACCACTTGAATTATAGTTGGTAACTATTGGGAACTATGAAATGCATTGCAATGCTGTTTTTCATGGGATCATACTGGGATGTTTAACTTCTACCGGTGATTTCGCAACCATCGACCGTATGTTAGGAAACCTGGAAACTGACTCCACCTTGCCTGGGATCTGTAGTTGAGCAGTGGATGCAAGACACCCCGCAATGGTTGATGATTTGGGGATAGCCCACGATATCCTTTGTATGTATTGGGGGTTATCATCACCCATGGTTTTTTTGGGGCTCAAGGCTCAAGGTTCCAACAAAATCACTGCAGACCCTGCATTTCCATGATACCTGGAGCGACCTGGACGCCGATGATCTTTCCGTAGAGCTTCAAGTGGCGTGTATTCCATCCTTACATGGCCCTACAATATATCTCTGTACTCTGAACAAAAATAATACATATATCCTAGAACTTCATTTGCTACATCATTTTCTGCTTGTTTCAAAGTCTGCTCGTTTCCCAAATTTCCATAGCGGAGTGAAATTCCAGTGCTCGAAGTTAAAAATGCTCGATCTAGTTCTAAGTATCCAGACCACGCCGAAACAAGACATATCGACTCGACATGATGAATTATGTACCCGGGCCCATAGGATCCATGTACGGTATATATATGCTAACATTTGGGGTATATATATATATATATATTGATGGTAAATGTTACCATATATAGCATACATAGATCCTATGGGTACATACAAATCACCCCCAAAAAGAAACGTGTGATCTCAGTCTTGCGATCAGGTCAGTGGGGCCGACGACTCCTCAAAGCTCTGGAGTTTGAAGTTCGGTGGATGCGACGCGTCGCGAAGATGGGACGGGACATGACGGGACGTTGTTACATGGGTTTGTTTGAAAGTGGGGGATACAGTACCCACTAAATCACGATTTTAATCAGGTTTTAAGTTTTAATACTGAAAATGATGATAATCTCCATTGGAATATTTGGAACTTTTTTTTTCCTTAAAGCTTCAGACTCACCCACATTGCTTGGAGGATCATGTTCTTCATTTTTTCGTCACCATAAACTGGTGTAAATGCTTCCTTTTCAGACAAATCCACCTTAGTGAAATGATATTAACAATTCCTTCACTGAAGATGTTGCCGTGATCATCTGTACACGCTTTTGATAAACAAACTGTATCACAGGCATAGGAAATCTACCCAATTGTATAAACCGTCCATGCTTGGGTCATGAATGAATCAAATCACATCAAAAAAGGATCACCCAATTCTAATCCAAATCACATTCAAATCCAACCTATTAAGATATCATTGTTGTTCATCAATCAACAATCCAGTTGCTTGCCAGAGGTTACCAGGATTCCAACTGGGATGCACATCCATTGATCCATAGCCCGATATCACGAAGGAGTTCTTATTTTCATCCCAATATGATAGGATGTCTTTATTACAATAAACCATTCTAAAACCATGGATTTATACATCATATTAATATTAATACATATATATATATATACATATTTCTCCATATCAAACACTATGAAGCATTATGAATACCTATTACAAGTACCCATCCCTTAGTGTTTCACCGGTGACATCGAGGCATCCGCACCATGTCGGACTGCCCGGAAGGCGCCACCTCGGTGGCCGCGGACTGGGACGGACACAGCGCGGTGGCGGGCTGTGGCAATGGCAGCTGCAGCAGCGTGGCGGTGACCGGCGGTGACCAGCTGGGTGTTGCCATCAGTGGATGACTCATGGGATATGGTTAACTGGTTGGTGAACCTGGATCCCAACTGACTTTCACTCCATCATTTTTGAGAGGGGTAGGTATACCACCAATGTATATAATGTATATAATGTAATTATAGTGGGGTCACCTGCATTAAACGCTCAATAGGTAAATGATGTACATGATATTGAATGACTGGTTGGTGGTTTGGAACATGGCTTTTATTTTCCCCATCATATTGGGAATAATAATCCCAACTGACTTTCATATTTTTGAGAGGGGTTGAAACCACCAACCAGATAATGTATATAATGTATATAATGTGTATTTATATATAATATAATTATGTATATATATATATGTATTAAAAAGCCAGTGATGGCTGTGATGACATCAAACCAGGATATATATATATATAGAAACCCATAAATACGTATATACATATATAATATGATAATATGTATATATATATATATCCATGACCTGATGTTTATATGTTCATATTATATCTACAGTTCATATTATGTTCATGGTTATATCTCCAAAACTTATCCCACTTGAAATCCCCATGGACTCCCCATTCCAATGATATCACCATAAAATTTGGGTGGTTTTTTTTTAATAATTACCCTTATCCACTGAAAGGGATATTTGCTGGTCCCATCTCATTACGTGTTACCAATTCTCGTATTTTGATGTTAAACCCCCAATAGTCTGTTGGTGAAACCACCATGTAATTTTACTTCTGCACGGAAAGATTGTACAGTTAGATCTCATATATTGCATGTATAGTGGTTTGTCAATTTTTCACACCATAAGTAAGTGATTCAATAGCTGAAGTGGTTAAAAATCCCTGATCTTCCCATGGAAAAAACAAAGATTTTGCTAGTCCTGCTGAGTATGGGGATGCATCCCAGTAAGTGGGCAACGATATATCCCATAACTCACTATTGGGATAATATTATAATATGAGTAGTAAAATGTATAACTGGTTGGTGGTTTGGAACATTTTTTATTTTTCCACAATATATGGGATAATCCTTCCTATTGACTAATATTGTTCAGAGGGGTTGAAACCACCAACCAGATAATGTACATTATATATTACTTACTATAATAGTATAATGTACTATAATGCACTATATCCCATAACTCTCTTACGAAATTCACTTGCTGGGTCAATCTAAGTATACGTAGTAATCCATATTTTTCTGGTTGATGGTTTGGAACATGGCTTTTATTTTTCCATATGGGAATGTCATCATCCCATCTGACGTTCATTTTTTTCAGAGGGGTAGGTATACCACCAACCAGTTTTTCACCACATAACTATGGAAAGATCCACCATGCTATTAATGGGTAAATCCACTATTTCTATGGAAAATCCACTATAAACTATGGAAAATCACCATTTTTAATGGGTAAATCCACTATTTCTATGGCCATTTTCAATAGTTTTTTGTATGTTTACCAGGCCGGGTAAGCCAGTTAGGAACTGTGGATTTACCTCCCAGAGATCCGAGGAGTGTGGTCTCTGAAGACCGCTGATCTCCTGCATAAATTCACGGCCCATCGTGGTGGTGTATGGGCTACTGAGCGCAACAGCACTGGGGGCGGTTGATTTCACCAAGATGGATGGAAAATGCTGATGTGATGCAGATTTTTTCCGCATAAAATGCGGAGTTTCATGCAGATTTTACGGTGATTGTATGGCTTCATGGGGAGTTTATGCAGAATCTATGGTCATTGATTGTGGATTTTAGAACATATTATGGTGAACAGGTGTTTTTTGGGGTGGAAAACACAACATCCATGAAAATAGGGATGTATACAATTAACGGATTTACAGTAAACCGGAAAACATGTTTTTTTGCACTCGTTGGTTGTTGGATGTTGATGGGACGACGCTTAATAAAGGTAAGTGTCATGGAAGAACAAGTAAGTAGGTGAAATTATCAATCGTATACCAAAACCGGCACCTCTTTACTCTTCTATTTGCCAAAGCAACATAGGTATCATTTGCAGCAATCACAGGAATGAATCGTATATACCCTTGGTTTCAAGTGTACTCTTCCGATTATCTTGCGATTGTTTTTGGGCTCTCAATTGTTCCTGTGGCTAGAATATATTATTTTACACCCAGACTATATGATGATATATTATATGATAACATATAAGATTATGCAATTATACATACATAGCGATAGATGCATATGTAAACATGCATTAAAAAACAGATGTAAACCTAGTCAGCTGCATCTTCAACGACACACACACACACATAGTCACACACACACACGCACACATGCAGGACCTACTCTTTCGGGATACATCACAGATCATGCCTCCAAAAAGTGTTCATCACTTTCAATCAAAACGTGTTCAACACTTCAATGGGCCAATGGGGTTTTATGATATTTATGTTGAGTGAGAAATTGCCCGTTATCCACTGGTTATCAAACACGGCAATGGGATCTCCAGAAAAACTGGGTCCCCGGGGTTTTCGGGGTCCCCGGGTCCGACGGGTCAGGCGTTGCAAGGGAACTTCAAAGAAGGCTATCTGGCCAGTGCGGGCGATGAACCTCGGTTTTCTCGAGAGAGCACCGGAGAGGTTGACCTCTTGAGGGGAGTTCAACTATCCAAAGCAGGGCTGTAAACATTGTAAACCAACTATAATTGGGATATGTTTGGGATGTCCTTTCTTTTTTTAATTATGTTAATATGATATAATTAGCGAACTGTCTTCAGTTTGGGTTTGTCCATCCTCCAAAATGTGATTTTGTTATGGTGAAATCGAGGTTCAAAAGCATCAATTTTCGGGGTACTCTATTCTCAGACCACTCTCTTTTGTCAGGCAAATTTGAGCCACAAACACAATCAAACATGGCAATTCAAACTGATTTAGCAACTTAAACAGGGGATACCAAGAATCATCCAAGAATCTTGTGTTTATCGTAACAAATTCATGGCCATCCTGACTAAAGTCGTGAATGGCCATCCAACGTCTTTGGACGTTCTCCTTGGCAAGGAAGCGGTGAAGATTTGGGATGCGATCCTTGGTTTGTTGCGGGCGTCGTTGGGGCTGGACTGCTGGCAAAATGGTTTGTGAAAATGGACAAAGGCTATGGACTATATGGAAGACATGGATTTATAATGATTTACAGATATTTATAGGAAGACAAATCCCATATTATATGGATGTATAATGATGTATTATAATGATTTATAGGAATATAATTAGGATTCAGGATATATAATTGGAATAAACATAGGAAATTAAACATGACTAGATGGAACATCCCTGATGGAAGTTTTTAGCTGGGAAAAATCATCGACATGAAATGGCGATGCTTTGATGACCGGATGGTACTGCATATAGTAGTGAGTTATAGTCATGCCCGGGTGTGGCACAGTACTGCTCCAGCTCCAGCGTGTTTCGCCTGCTGTCGGCATGCGTCAAGTGGTGGTTTGTTCGTCCAGTTCCATGCAAAGTATTGCAGAGTATTTCTGTTATTGCCAGGAAGCAGTGCACAGATTTGGGTCGTTTCATGAGAAGAGTCACGATCGTCCTGAGAGACCCCTTTTTGTCGTTGACCATACACCACAAGCCAATAAGATTGTGCATGTTCATTCAATATCAACATGCGTGGACGAAAACGGTGGATACCAAAGGGTACTTCAAAGCCCAAATGGGGTTGTTTGAAACTAGGGTACTTCAAGTTCCAGTGGTTTATGATCATATTCCCGATATTTTAACGGTGGGCTATCCCTTTTCCAGACTTAGCCAAGTATAATTACATCTATTTTATATCCTCATTATTAACCCATATGACTCATGACCGCAATATTTTGGTGTTTTGCCATTATCCAAATATGACTCCAAAAAACAAATACCACTCATGTATTACATATGGAATATGCCGTAGTCGATGGACAAATACTATTAACATATATCAACATTAATGGAGTATTATTACTATAGTACTCCAAGTATTACAGGTACATAGTACTTCTTCCCCATTAACTCATTCATCTCCCCATGAGGAACGAATGGACGTGTTTGTTCACCACCCCTGGGCATGCTGGCGGCCTGATGTGCATGTCTGTCACTTGGTAAAGAGAAGGGCCTTGACGCGACATTTTGCCAGAAAAGGGTGGGTTTTTGGTGGTATGAGCAACAAACAAATGTGGTATAAGAGGGATTGAAGTATCAAAAAATGGGATTTCACCAACAAAGGTGGTGGATGGTGGTAGTACAATAGAGATACAATGGTCCCCAACAGATTGGCGAAGTTGGTGCAACAAACGAAATTGGGGGCACAAACTTGAACCATCCATACGTGGAGGCTTAGTATTGACTCTACCGCAACACATAGGACATTTATCTATCTATACATCCATCCATCTATTCTGTCGATCTACCAATCTATTTATTTTATTCTAGTCTAGTCTAAGTCTAAGTCTAGTTTAGTCTATTCTATCTTTTTCTAAGTATTATATTTGTTCTATCTATTCTATCTATTTTGTGGATCTAATTTGTCTATTGGTCTACCTGCTTATCTAAGGAACATTCTATCTTATCGTATCTTATCGCATCTCATCCCATCTGATTTGTTTCATTTTATCTCATCTTATGAAGCTATTTGATTACTTATATCATATATATATATACACACACTATACACAGTATAAGATAGTATAAGTATAGATCCAAAATTTCTGTTTTCTTTCTCTGTGGCGAACTGATTCAATCCATTCCCTGTCCAGCCTGGCTCAGAGGTGGACTGGTCGGGGAGCAAAATTCTCGGCGGCTGTGGTAGTACCTCCAACTTACAGCTCTGGAATTGCGCTGCTGAGTCTTGGCTGCGGCATTGCCACGTGTAGTCGTCCCTAAGTCAGAGGTGGGCCGGCAGTCAAAATTTGGATGGTCTAAGTTGGTTTAAGCTCCGAAACTGAGTCCATGGGAACCACATTTTAACATCCTGAACTGGCAAGTGGTTAATCATGGAGTTGGAAGATTATGAGGATTTGACCAAACAAACACGGGAGTTTGTTTGTAAAACTGTGGTATGCGACCAATAATTGGAATGCAATTTCAGCAAAAGAATCAGATAATCCGGTTTGTCCCACAAAACGTGTCTTTTTTTTGGTAGAACACCGTTTTTTTCCCACATGGCTAATCTGGCCTAAACGTTTTTTGGTAGGAGCATCCTTGAGAGGGTCTTTTGAGGGCCAATTGACATGCCTGTGGAATTCTTGAAATTTGCAAAAACTGCTGTTGTGCGCTGGCCGTCGCTTGTATCACAGATGAGGCATACAAACTACAACATTGACAACCAGTTTCAAATGTTTTGTGGCATCCACGTAGCCAATACCGACCCTTGATTCTCTAGAGAATTGCTTATGTATTTTCTTTTTTGAATTTTTGTATAGTTGGTTGCCTGGGTCATCATTTTAGAGGGTGTCAGACCCCCCAGGCATCCTAGGTAGTGATTCTTTAGATGCATTCAGTAGTTGAAGGTGGACTGCCATTTTTGTCTAGAAAATCAGGTGTCCATGTGAGGCAAATTCCCAGAGAGATGTGTTTATATTTTTTTTGGAGATTGGTTGAAACTGAACACCAGGTCGGTATATCCCACACAAAAACGTGACTGGACACGGCTGAGATGTGCTTTTTGAACTTGGATGAAAGCTGGACTGTGCGGCACAACTTTCTCAGTTCAAAGTGGAATTTACAAAAACACACCAAAAAGAAACATAGGATCCATGTATGCTATATATGCTAACATTTGGGGTATATTTATGGTAAATGTTACCATATATAGCATACATGGATCCTATGGGAAATAAAAACAACATCTACATAATCTGGAAATCAAAGGCGAAGAGCTGATCCAGATCCGCAAAAAAAGGCGAAGTTTTGGTTTTCGGAACCCATCTCTCGAAAGCCTTTTTTTTGGTCAGTTAGAAGACACTTCTGGGATGGTACATATCCAATTTTCATTGGATTCACGCGAGCATGTTTTAAGCACCGACTTGTTTTTCAACTTGCTTCTGCAATATGTCCACAAATTGTTGGTCTTGATCTTGTGCTTACATGTTTCTTGTCCTTTTCAAACACGTAGACCTTTATTCCAATGTTCATTGTTGTATCATTGTTTTGGCTTGTTGCTGAGAATATATGAGTAACCGACAATCAAAACAACGCGTTGGCAATTTTACGGCACACCCAAAACATTTACTTTACGAAATCTGACGATTTTGTCAGTCTTGCTTGAGTTTTGTCACATATTGCACCTTTTACCCAAAGAGTAATTGTAGTAATTGAAGTCTCGAATAGAATAATTAAGCCCCAAAAGACAGATTACAATAGCACAATGATTTTCTTTACTGTTCAATCTTCTTGGGGGTTCTGCAAGTAATTGGTTGCTCAATGTGGTGAGTTCAAAATGTGTCCCAGGCTGCTGCTTTTCCTCGGAAATCTCCGGCTGAGGACAGTTTCTCCCGAAGGGCCAACGATGGCGATAAGCCGAAGGCCGAAAAGGTCGCTGCTGTGAAGTTCCACGGTGCCTCGGTTTCTGGGAAAAAACGCAGCAACTGCTGGGGGTTTCCATAGTCATGGGGCTACCCCAAAAACGCTGGATGGTTTTTGGTGTGGAAAATCCCATTAAAATGGTGGATATAACATGGTGGATATCCCCATAGCTGGATGGTTTTTGTCGTGGAAAATCCCAATCTGAAATGGATGATGACTGGGGCTACCCCCATGACTTTGGAAACTCCCATATGTAGTTCATCGTAATCCTGGTTTTTTGGAAGCCTCTGCTGAGTAAACCAACTGTTGAAGGGCCAAGAATCAAGAAGTTGATGCAGCTCTGATGTGCTGAGGTCATCAGGATGTTGTGCCAGATGCCGGGCAGCAGAACACCCGAAAAAAAATGGACATTGAAAATGGGAAAAAACACATGGGCAAACATGAGGCTTAAAAATGCATTGGAATTGGGGTTAAAATAGGGTACCCTATTTTCAGACATGTGGGGCCATGGTCGGCAGGCACAGCCAGCCTGCTGTTCAGATTGGCTCAATGGGACTATTTTAAGGCCTTTGGTTTCATTGGGAGTGGTGTTATACAACATTTCACATTTATATTATAACTAATTTAATATCAAGTCATTATGATTAATTCTACATATATATATATATATAAATAATTATATACTTATATATCCACAATAGTTACATGTATGTAGAGGTTTAACGGACTAGTATATACATACTTTATGTACACATAGTTTTGTTTGACCCTGCATATATATATATATATATATGTACACATTCACATTGACATTGACAACGATGTGAACTGAGCAACAAATTGCCTAGCTTTGTATATTGTCTATATATTTGCTAACCACCATAAGCCTCCAAATCTGTGTGTATATATATATATATATCATAGATACATGTTATATGCAGTTATATAGTCATTCTGCAGTAGAATATGGACATTTTATGACGTTTCAACGAATCCTCACTAAAGTCAGAGTATGCTTGAAACTCCCAAGATTATTCCAAATTGATATCATTTGATATCCCATTAATAATATCCTATCTACTTTAGCCCCACAAAGATAGAACTGTGATTTATCAACATTTTAGTATATAGGATTTAACAATTTTCTATCTTTTTGGGGCTTTTTTTTATAGGCAGAAATTTTCAGAAATTTCTTGGATTAAACCGATGGAGTCCCTGCAGTTCTATTTCGGCATGGCTCAGGATTTAGCCGTGGACTGGGGGAGGAGCATTGCGGTGACTGGGGGATGGGATGCCAGTCTCATCGTATGGAGCCGTGACCGTGATTTTTAAGCGCTGGCAGTGATAGGAGATTTCTGGGGATTTTCATGGGATATAGCAGGGATGTAATAGGGGAATCATGGGGATGACAGTGGGAAACAAATATATATATATATATATATATATGTACATAATTTATAATTTAATTATAAATAACCCAATAGGTTTCTTTGGTGTGTCAACGTGCGTTTGTCTGAACATGGTGGAATGTTGCCTCCAAAATATGTTCATTAACAAATGATGGAAACACAATACATAACCATTGAAACCTGGGGGCACCCTATTTTCAGACAAACCCAGCTGCGATAAGATGCTGCATATGCAAAGATTGTTCCATCACTCATGAGATATGCCCATGCATTTTCACCAGCAAGAAAGGGTACTTGAGCAGCAGAAAAAAACACCAACAAAAAGCCAGAGAGTAAAGGTGGCGCATATTTCTCCCTCTGTCTGTCTTGGTTTTTGTTCCCAGCGTCTCGTTGTCTCTGAGGAATCTGAAAACTGGAATGCCAACGCACACCCACGAGTGTCTTTCGGCCGCGCGAGTTGTGCCGCAACTTTCTCCGGAAATTAGATGCACCCATTCAAGAACTAGTGAAGTGCACCATAGAAATTCAACACTATGCGTGTCATCAAAATATATGTTTACCAAAATGTGTTCAGCAGAGTTGAGGTTGGTGGAATTTCGAAGCATCCACTTGCAACCAAGTTCACTGAAAGACTCAATGTTTTCGGGAGAGTGGCCAACTAGGAGCGGCAACAACACGACTGCGTTACCATTAACATTTTATTCTCATCAATAATAATTAACGATTACAAAATAATGGATAGTGATAATGATAAAAATTGATAAATATAATTAATATCATCATCATCAGCATCCTCCTGGTAGCTGGTTGCCACATTTTTTTTGCCTACGACCTTTTCACATGGGTCGTGCTGCCCCCATGGCCACCAGATTGATCCATTGGTGAACTCCGCATTTTCCATCTGACCCATGGGTTACCCTCTGGTAATTTGTTACATAGCTATTGAAAGTGGCCCATTTATAGTGGATTTACCCATTGAAAATGGTGATTTTCCATAGTTATGGGACAGTTTACCAGAGGGATCCAGAGGGTAAGAATAAATAAACCAGTTGACCCATAGGGAAAACCCTTGGGTCTTCCATGGCTTTTCTGCCCAGTTACAAACCACGATGCCAGGCAAGTTCGGTCGTGTGAGATCACTGGCCGTGGACTTTGCCAATTCTGTGGTCGCGAGTCGTGTCGAGTTGAGACCGTGGTTTCTGTGGATAACGATGACCCTGAGATTTTCCATGAACATCCAATGGATTTGAAGTAGAATATATATGTAGTCTATATATATATATGTAATATATACATATAATATATTGTATATAATATTATATATAGTGGTATTATTCCACGTCTTTTATATGTTGATTGCCGTTTTGGGTTGTGTCCATCACTTTTGGGCACAAGCATATACCCACTCAGATCCATTCAATACCTAGTGGGGTATCAACGAGAAGAAAATCCGGCAAACATGGGAAGTATGGGTCCCTGGGGCAAGACAAAAGGGTCGGGGACAATATATCTGATTATGTGGGTCTGTTTGAAAATGGGGTGTCCCCCACCAAATGGTTATTTGAATGCGGCAAATGATGATGAAACATATCTTTTGGAGGGTATCCCGTATCCCATTGGTATATATATATAAATACTGGTTGGTGGTTTGGAACATGGCTTTTGTTTTCCCCAATAGTTGGGAAGAATCATCCCAACTGACGAACTCATGTTTTTCAGGGAGGTAGGTCAACCACCAATTAGTATAAATAAACAAGGAAAAATCAGAGTATAGTACCGGTTTATAGTGATATGCTGGGTTATTATGGGATTATCATTGGGTACCATGATCTGGGGCTACATATATATATATATATAATTATATATATATACACATATATCAATCCATTGATATCCCAATCATATCTCTATAAATATCCGTGTTGGTGAAATGGACAGAGGGGAACATCCGGTGACCCGTCGGATGTGTTGTTCAGTTTGGACTGCGTGTAAAGCGGCAAAACCACGAAGAAAAGAGAAGAACATGGGAACCATGAAACATATGAAATCATATGAAATTGAACTAAACGTAGGAGCAACTAATTCACACTAAGTTGTTGAATAATTGTGTTGGAGATTGAGAGAAAGCATTTGCGTCTTGCACACCCTTATCATCAACTACCACAGACCTGTCGAGCACGAGTTAAACCTTGAAATTTGCAGCCACTACAAAGGATCTTTACGACCTCTTTATTGTACCCACATATTTAGAAAGTGACCAAGACAACCAAACAAGTAGGCACTGTCTCTATCTCTTTTGCCAACTGCTGCCATTATTCCGAGGTGTGGTGTGGCTCAAGCAATGGGTGCCACTTGTCAAGTGTCTATCGAGATATTTGATTAATATTTGGGGGATTTATTGAAACCTCCAGCCAGTTGTATATTGTATACCCATGTGTTGCTTTCTCATCTAACACTGTTTCTCTTGCTTATTATAGTTCTTTCTCCACTGGCAGAGGGGGCGTCGCTCCAAAAGACCCAATTCACTTCCTTAACCCCATTGGCTTGTATTGGTTTCCTTACATCCTTGGTGGGTCGTAATCACGGTACCACCCTGTTCTGTGGAGCAGAACAAATTCATCAAACTCTCGTGGATGATGTTGCAGAGTGGATCGCGTGTTGCATTACAGTTACAATGTGGTGCATCCCAGTTACAAGTTGGGGGCTGTCAGCCCCATCTAGGGATATATATATATAGCATAGACCCTATATAGTTCCTATAGTAGCACTCCAAGTCATCAAACCAAGTTTGCTAACTCTTGAGCACCACCTTGTAGTGGCTTCAACGGTTGCTACATCAACCAGTCAGAGAGGTTTGTCCTTGAAAAACAGCAGCATCTTGAAGATGCAGAAGATGCCAAGCATACCAAGTCTGTGAACCATCACCGGACACCAACTTCTTGGCATTTCTTGGATGCCTTACTCAGTTCATTGGTGTAGGATCCTGAAAATGACCAGTCGATCTACCCTCTGGTTTTTTAACATAGCCATGGAAAATCGACCCATTTTTAAGTTCGGTAAAACATCTATTTCGATTAGGGCCATCGTAATAACCATGGCAAACTGTGAATGTCATAACCAGATGTTAACTTCAATTAACTTCACATTTTTTGGTGACATCAATCGATGCCGACGGTTCGTCGCTTCGATCATGAAATCCAACATCTTCTGGTTGGTGGTTTGGAACATGGCTTTTATTTTCCATAATATATGGGATAGTCCTTCCCAACTGACTTTCATATTTTTCAAGATGGTTATTGCACCACCAACCAGTGGTGAAATCCTGGCGAAATCCTGGTGCTGAGATCTCCACCAGATGGACTTGCGGAGCGGCCTGATCCAGAAGACCCTGGAAGGTGGCGCCGGCCTGATCCAAACCGCGAGTTTCGTTTCATCTTGCTGTGTTTTCAGAAAGGGAAAAGGTAGGATTTTTCACAATTGTCAATAAATTAGTATGATATTTTATAGGGATATGATTGATATAATTTGAGATCATATGGATTTAATGGGGTTGATTAATATTTCAAAAACAGGGATTTAAGGATATTTGCATAGATTTATAGTAACCCCTACAAGATAGAACATACTGAATTTACCACTGTTTAAGTTGGATTTGACATGTCTAAGTTTTTGGGGTGCTATAGATATCATTTGTTTTTTTAATAGAAATTCAAAGGGGATTTAATGGGGTATAGTAGTGGAATATGTAACCAACAATATACTAGCTGGAGTGATTCTCGCAACGTGGGGGATTATATATATATATATACATATATATATATATACAATCTGACCAAGTCAGTGATTCATCTTCTGCGCACACGCTCAACCATACTCGGGAGATATCGTGGTTTGATTATGTTTGATTAGTGCGATGATATATATATATATACTTATATATATATATATATGTATATATATATAAGTATATATATTATATATAATGTATATATATATATATATATACATAATATCACCCCAAATTACATGTTGAATTCCCTCCAGAACATGACCACCTCACTTTTTGGACAACACTTTTTGGTATATCCCTCGGAGATGATCGTTTCCGAGCAACAACGTAGGCACCGTAGTAGCACCCGTTTCCGAGGAGATCTTCTTACGTTGGGAGGTTTATGTTTTTTCAAATATGTTTAATGGGTTTACCCTCTTGTAATTTGTTACATAGCTATGGAATAGATGGCCCAGTCGAAATAGTGGATTTACCCATTGATAGCATGGTGGATCTTTCCATAGTTATGTAAACGTTTACCAGAGGGTAACTATGGCACTAACCTCCATAAGTTGGGATAAGTCACTTCTAGAACGGTGAAATCTAAGCCGTTTGTTCTCATGCCGCGACCCTGCCAAAACTGGGAATTCAATAGGGGACCATCTACCAGTTGGGGTGAAATAGAATTTCCTCCAAGAACATAGACCCTGGTAAACTAACATAACTATGGAAAATCACCGTAGAAATAGTGAATTTTCGAAACAAAAATGGTGGATCTTTCCATAGTTTTGTGTAAACGTTTACCAGAGGGTAGACCCAATGGCAGGAGATTGGAAGCTTCATTTCCACCGAAAATGGGCCATCCTCAGTGTCAAAGTGTGGAACCATCGGTTTACTTTGAGGTGCCATACCACTCGCAATATGCCCCAAAGCAATATTCACAGTACCGGCACAAACGGCTTTGGAAGTTCGGAAATAACAAAATTCGGCAAGGGAACATCAACCTGTCAGAGAAGTTAGATATATTGAGGAATTCATGGACAGATATGGTGATGGGTCAGAACCTATTATACCATATTTGTGGGGTATCATAGTATTCATGTACATCCATGAATCCCAGCTATAGCTGGGGGTTCACCATTTCGGGATCCAGGGTGTAGCTAAGCGTAGCTTTTTTTTTAAACGAAGAAATATGAGCCATGGTCAGAAGTTGGAATATTATATGCCCCAATATTGCAGGATGGTCATTAATCCATCAGTGGGGATTTGAAAAATACTGACTATTCCATTTCATATTCCCATGATGGGATGGATGACTGACCAACCTGGTTGATATATCAGATTGTTGGTTTTTTGATGTTAAGCCAACCATCTGATGATTATATCAACCAATTAATTGAACATAATATATCAGAACTGCTTGGTGGTTTCAAACATTTTTTATTTTCCATTTCATGTATGGGTTGTCATCCTTCCCATTGACTTTCATAGATATTCAAGACGGTTAAAACATGTTAAAACATGTTAAAACCACCAACCAGAGAAGGTCTTTGATTCTGCCATGCGATTTCCTTCCCATTCGAGGTCATGGTGGAGCCGTTACTGCTGTGATCGCCTACGTGGACAGCTGAGATCAGCTGAGATCGGTGATGTTTGGCCGGTGTTTGGGGGTACCTTTTTTGTGGGGGGGAAGAATCCCAATTTTTGGCACGACTTTTCAGGTGAATTAGTTAGTTAGTGTAATTGATCAT